CTTATTTTCGTAGAACTGCTTTTTTTATGTGTTTTGTTAACAGCTTCTGACATATAATAATTAACGATGCTACCAGTACGTTGTTTCAAAACATTTCCTAAGTTGGGAAGAATTTATAGTTAATAACTTTTATGTAATTGTTGTCTTTGTTTTTATGTATATTTCTTAATAAATAACAACTGTCCTTCGAATAAAAATAAATAAATAATGTACACATGACATGTATAAATATGTTTAAATATGTTTGTTAATTACAAAATCGTTCTTTCAACTCGTATTGTTAATATATAGCCTATACTGTATATGTATCTGCCAAATCGTATGCTTTCTAATCGTGCAAATTTTTTTAAATTTCTGTCGCCAATTAATCTCTCCCACTTGATTTTTTGCCCATTGTGAATCGCCTAGCTATCATGTATCCAGCTGACGTCTCAACCGATCCGGCCGTCTATATTATGGCATATTCAAACTCTAGGTCTCTAAATTTGTGATTCTGGGTTCCGAAAATTTATTTTGCTAATAGTCTTCGAGGTTCATAAAACGTGCCACTAGTTATATTAATAAACTAATATGAGAAACAAAAAATTTCTATGGTTTTGCTACAGCTATTATTTCTCCATAAAATTATGCATTTACAAGGAAATAAATTAAGCTAATATCAATAAAAGTAGCCATATTAGAAACTAACTTATACGAAAATTTTTAATTTTTAGTTTAAAGATCTCGTTTTCTTTTATTAGATACTTATACAGCTTATATAAAATATAATGTAATGAATATCTACAAACATCGCTGAACCCGATATATAATATAGCTAAACACCAACCAAATGCCGAAATTCTATCGGGCTAGTTTAAGGCTAATTACTACATGAATTACGTAACTAATTTAGCTGTAGAGGTAAGCGTTAGGCGCCATCTCTTATTAACATTAATAATTATAAATAAAATTAATTAATTTAAGTAATTTAGAACCGCTGGGAGAAAAAATCGGCCCGGAGCGGAACTCGAACCCACAACTCCTGCTTACCGTGCAGATGCGTTGCCAGTTACGTTATTCAGACCTCCAGTCCGAGTCCCGCTCCGGGCCGATTGGTTACGTAATTAATGTAGTAATTAGCCTTAAACTAGCCCGATAGAATTTCGGCATTTGGTTGGTGTTTAGCTGTAATGAATATCTTTATTTTTATTTGTAAACTTATACATAGTGTCCTTATTATACGCTGTTGATTAATTAGAGAGTGAATTCGAATAATGTCCAAAAATCCGGATTACTCGGAAATTAGGATTGTCCGGATTCATGGGTGCCAACTCAAATGGTCCAGAACCCGTTCCGATCTCCAATAATTTTTTAAGTTGTGTCGGCCCCCAAATTTGAACGTTAAAAATTATTTATATCTTTCGACCTCGAAAGATCTAACATATGTATGGTCTGGATGCGGTTCTGAAACTGCATCCAGACCATAGATATGTTAGGTGCTGCCTGGTCGAAATAGCCTCTCTTGACCAATACCAGATACCAGAAGGTGAAAAATGAAAATGATTTTATTTTTCACCTTCTTTCACTTTGGGGTGGTCTGTCACTGAAGACGTTATTGGAAGACCGAACGGGCTCCGATCGCTTGGAGTTGGTGTCTATGCTGAAAGTGTGTGGGAGACCGAACTACTTCCAGCGCTCGAGATAGGTGTTGATTCGGTAGCTAAGCTGATTTTCTGTCAGTTTTGTGTCTTTTGGTTTTCTTCTAGATCAGGGGTGTCCAACTTGCAGCCCGCGGGCCGTATGCGGCCCAAGGCAAGATCGAATGCGGCCCAATAAACGTGTAAACAAAACCGACAAATCGTTTTATTTTATTTATTTTTTTATTTCAACGGCATAAACTCAAAAAAAAAGTTTCACAAAGCCGTAAATTTTTATACATATTTTATTTTTGAGTGAAAAGGAAATATTTTCAAATACTTGGAAATGTGTGAATGACGAAGGAATACTATATAAAGCTGGAGTTGTGACTCAAAGGATTATAGACCCAAATTTGAAAAAAGGAGAGAAAGGCCAAAAGATAAAAAGTAGTGAGAAAAGTTAAATAGACTTCCTGTTATGCAAATATTTACCCTTAATTTTTCAACCTTCCTTACTACTTTTTATCTTTTGGCCTTTCTCTTCTTTTCTCAAATTTGGGTCTATAATCCTTTGAGTTCCAACTCCAGCATTATTTAGTACTCTTTCCAGCATTGCAAGATTTGGCTACTTTGCACCAAATTTGGCTACCCTTTTTTTTACTTTGGCATAAAAATTATCATTTTGCACATTGGCTACTTGGGCTACATATTATTTATAAATATATTAGTCGAATTAAAATGCACTTTAAAATGGTGTTTCGTAGTTTTTTTATTAATAAGAGATCGAAATAAAACAAATATTTGTGTTTTTCAAATAAATTTTTGTTTGTCTCCTTTGTAATAGGCTAAATGAATTTATCTATTTCTAAGTAAAAATTGAAAGTGTCTGTAGAAGTAATTTTTTAAAATATCCTTTTTCGTAATAAAGTTTTAATATTCACTACTATAATCTAGACATGTTAATCCTTAAATATACTTGTATATTTAAGGATTAACATGTCTAGGATTAATCATGTATATTTAGGATTAATCCTAAATATACTTGTATATTTAAGGATTAGGTCGCAAATATATTATATATACTTGTGGCCCAAAACGCCATGACTCCTTCCAATGTGGCCCAGAGGAACAAAAAGGTTGGACACCCCTGTTCTAGATTTTTGTTTTTTGGATATTTGTATACTTGGTCTGGTTTTTGCTACTGTTTCTACATTTGGTGATCCGCATTTCAGTTAAGTGCTACATACTTTTTCAATTGCTTTTTATGAGTAAAAATTGGGATTTTTTTTTTGTTTATTCTATCTAATTTTAATGCAGCTTTTTTTTATACCGAGACTGCTACTTTTAGTGCTAGCTATTTCGTTATCCAATTTTCATTTTTAAAAAAATCTCTCGAACAGTTTCAAAATAATATACTTTTACGGTGTTTTTCGCCGTCTTTTTATACGATGATAAAATAAACTATATTTCGACATCATAATCTGATGTCGAAATATAGTTAAATATAGACATCATTATCTGATCATTATCTGATGTCGAAATATAGCAACAAAATAAGACTTTTTATAAGAAAATGTGTTTTGTTGAACTCCTAAATTATTTTTCTAAATTAAAGATGACCCAAAAGTTAGTTGAAAAGTTAGATTTGTTTCCAGATTACTTTTGGATAAAGCGATTGAACACGAACCGATTTCTAGCTTTTTAAAATAATTATTAATAAATAATTTGGTTAATTAACTTTTGTATTATTCTGTAAATAAGTTTTTTATAAGACAAATAATTTTATTATAATTTGAAAAACCAATCATTTGTTCTCATAAAACTTGCTTGTTTCGAGTAACTTTTGATGTTATATCGAATAATTTAAATACTTTTAACGGTATTCAGCAAAAATTATTTTAATCTTAACATTTATTCATGAAAGTTCTTTAATACTTAATTTATTAATAAATATATTTTAACTGTTTCCATTAAATTCCCTGACATTCTTGACTGTTATAACATTCGACGTGTTAAAAGACGTGGGTTTGATTCCTAATATTTTATAATGCAAATTATAGAGTAATAACTTATTATCACATAAAAAATCAATAAATTTAAATAATAAAAATTCAGTTTCTAATCGAAACTAAACTAAATTTTATATTAAATATACAGAAAGGTCTAAAAGTCAGTTAACCGTATTCTGTGTTGTTTATGCTTATAAATGGTAAACTGAGTTTGGAACATTCCGATGAAAAAATAAAAAAATAAATTAAATATATAATTGTCTTCAATAAATATAGCAGTGGATTTTATAATGGTTAGCTAACTTTTGGATCATGTTATATATAATTTTAATTTATAATAACTTCAAAATGAATTTTTTAATGAGACTATCCTAACATTCCATTACAATTAAATACCTTCTTGAAAAATTAAAATTTATTTTATAAAAATAAATTACGAATGCACGTATTTAAATATTTTTTAAAAATATTACAAAACATGTAAAACGTTTTAATCAAAATTTAGCAATTAAGTTATTGCTAGGGTGTAAAATTACTGGCTTTAAGGTAAGTAATATATGATATTTACACGCGTTAGAAATTTATTTTCTTAATTTTATATACTTGTAAACCTATTTTTCTAAGAAACAGAATTGTGAAATTTGAAAATAAATGAAAAAGCAATATAAATTTTTTTTTTATGAATTTTTATTTCATCTCTTTAAATATTGATAAAAATTCCTGTTTGATAATTCTTAATTTCCTTTAAAATTTATATTAAATATTTGATTATTTTAACAAATAAACTCGTGTTCTGTGAAACATTTCTTAAATCTTAAAGAATATTTAATAAACAAATGACACCCTAAGAACAAACTGTAATATTTAAATAACTCCACCTTAAGGAAGAAATTAAATAGAAGAAAATATATTTTGAACTAGATAGGAACCGATCTTTCGTCGTAAATCAGTACATAAGGACATAGGTTCGGTTCCTATGCTGAATAGGAACCGAACCTATGTCCTAAAATCCACTTTGAGAACTCGCTTTGTACTGTACATGTTGAATAGAATTCGTACGGAACCTTCATTCTAGTAGTCACATTTCATATACTGAACAGTATTTTATTTTACATACAGATATATTTCGTACCAAACTCGCCTCTTGAAAGCTACATTTCATCCACTCAATACAAATGAAATTCACATTTAAGAAGCCATTTTCTTATACTTTATATGAACGGTACCTATGTTTTATATATACGTTTGATTCGTATTCAGCGTATGAAATGCTAACAAAACATAAGATCAAAAATTTTTCTTTCTAACTTATGATAAAATGTAATAAAATTGACAAATAAAATTATAAACATTTAAGAATTATTTACATTTGTAGCTAAGACGGATATACAGAGAGCAGGTGTGCAGTATATATTGGACTCAGTAGTAGATTCTTTGCTGAAGAAACCTGAGAGAAAGTTCATTTATGTAGAAACTGCATTTTTTTGGCGTTGGTGGAAAGAACAAGACGACCATGTTCATGATTTAATGCGAAAATTGATTATGAGTGGTAAAGTATTAATTTTTTCAGTTATTCAATGAGTTCGTAAGCTCGAAATTTTAATTCCCTTATAAGACCTACAAATATCTGTAACTTTATTTTATTCTTATAAGCCAAGCACTTCCATAATATCTGAGTTCTATTTTTCCATACATTATGAATGATACCACGTTTAATATAGTTTATACGTCTCTTCAGGTCAACTAGAATTTATTAGTGGTGGATGGTGCATGAATGATGAAGGAGCAGCACATTATAATGCCATCATTGATCAGATGACATTTGGTTTCAAAAGACTTAAAGAAACATTTGGAAATTGTGGAATACCGCATATTGGATGGCAGATTGATCCATTTGGTCACTCAGCTGAACAAGCATCGTTATTTGCTCAAGTGAGATTTTCATAAATAGATTGTCGAAATCTTTTTAAATAAATATAAAATATCTAATAAATTCAATTTTTTAGATGGGTTTTGATGGATATTTTCTAGGACGAATTGATTTTCAAGATAAAATGAGGAGAGAGAGCATGAAACAAATGGAATTTATATGGAAAGCTAGTCAAAATATAGGTAATAAATTTTAAATTTCTTACATAAATTTAATAAATCATTTTAATTGAAATTTCAATAAAATTTAGGTAAAGAAGGTACAATTTTTACAAGTATCCTCCCAAATACTTACAGCCCACCGGCAGGTTTCTGTTTCGACCTATTATGTGATGATCAACCCATTATGGTAGTAATATTTACATTAATTTCATAAGTTTATAAAATAAAATTTAATTTAGTACGTTAAAACATTCATTTTTATAAAATATTTTCCAGGACGATCCTAGAATGGAAGGCTACAATGTTAATGAAAGAGTGGAAGAATTTATTAAAATTATAATGAATGAAGTAGAGATTATATAAAATACTATACAATATAATATAATAATATAATTAAGTTTCTAAAATAATATATACTTTTTACATTAATTTAGGCTAAAAATTATCGTACAAATCATATTATCATGACTATGGGCAATGATTTTAATTATCAATATGCAGAATCTTGGTTTAAGAATTTGGATAAACTTATGTATTATGTTAATCAGCAAGTAAGAAGATTATTTTAATAACTATTTTTATATATATTATTTTTTAAAATAAATGTTTGAAATTTTCAGCAAAAACATGGAAGAAAAATAAATGTTTTCTATTCAACTCCATCTTGTTATTTAAAAGCTGTACAGAAGAAAAATGAGACATGGAAAATCAAAACTGATGACTTTTTTCCTTACGCAAGTGATCCTCACGCTTTCTGGACTGGATATTTTACTAGTAGACCTTCAGTTAAAGGATACNAACTTAATTTAAACTATAAAATACTTTCACTCTCGTCTTGCAGATTTATGTTTAATCTTTACAATATTACTGTTAATTTATTATATTATAATCTAAATTTTATATTTTAAAACTTAAAAAATATATTTAATATATAATATTTATTAATAACATTGCATGCTAAGTACTTTTGATGAGTATAAAATATAAATATATTTTAATTAGGTTGGAAAACAATTGCTTGCAAATGCTGGATTAACTCAGGAAGAGCATTTAGAATTAACTAAATTAAGTAAAATATATTTAATTTTTTTGAAATTTAAAGTTTAATTTTAATTTTTGATGAATATAATAATATAATATAATAAATATAATTAATAAACTAAATAACAATTTTAAATTTCCAGGAGAGGCTTTGGGTGTTGCACAGCATCATGATGCTATCAGGTGAAAGAATATTGATAAATTAAACTTAAAATTTAATTTAATGAATAAAATAGAACAATATTATCGTAATTTTCTGGAATTTTATAAAATAGTGGGACTGCTAAACAAGCTGTTACTGACGATTATGTGAAGCGAGTTTCACAGGGGATAGACAGTTGTCAGGTGAAAAAACATTATATCGCCTCACTCTATTGATCTTGAATGTTTGATGAATATTTGGTATAATAGTGCGTTTATAATATATATAATTTTTAGAGCGTTATTAATAAAGCCTACAAGAAAATAATGCCTATTAGTAGCGCACCTGCACCTGATCAAATTTTCTGTAATTATCTGAATATAAGTGAATGTGCTGTAACTGAAAACAGCAATTTGGTAACATATTTTTAAAATATATTAGAATTAGTATTTTAATTTTATATTTAAATTTATTCGTTTTAATTTTTAAGATTGCTGTAACTATATATAACCCAATTGCTAAGAATATAAGTAATTATGTACGTCTTCCTGTAAAATTAAGCGGTTATCAAGTTACGGACTTTCAAGATCATTCTGTTGATTCGCAGGTATTAAAATATATTTTAATTTAATTAATTATTTATTTTTCATGAATAAAACCACATTTTTCATATTTTTATAGCTGATTCCCATATCAAAAAATGTCATCAATATTCCAGGAAGGAAAAGTAATGCTACTCACGAGTTGGTGTTTAAAGTAAATCTACCTCCTCTTGGCTATTCGACATATTTTGTTAATAAAACAAACAGTACGATACTTAAATTTAATAAATTATTTTTGAAAAAGTGTTTTATATTTATATTTTTCATTAATTTTATTCAGATGCTACATTATTAAGAAGACAACTTTCTAGAAAGTATTACTCGCATCGAGATAAGATTGTACTGAAGAATAATGTAAATTATTATAATTTTTAAAAAGATATATGTATTTTTTATAAAAATGCAATAAATTTATTTAATTTTTTATTTGTTTTAGCATTTCGCATTATATTTTTCTAAAGAAGGTGGTTTAAAATATGCAATTACTAAAGAAGGCATTCATTTACCTATAAATCAGTCATATTATTGGTATCGTGCTATGAATGGAAATAATTCTAAAATTAATTTCCGTGCTTCAGGAGCTTATATTTTTAGACCCAATGGAACTGAACCATATATTTTTAATGAAACTTCATCTGCTTATGCATATTTGGTATTTATTTAATTTACGATATAAATAAAGTTTCTATAGTATTTAAGTTCTAGTAAAAGTATGGAATCGCTTTAATCACAAGGAAATTTAATGTATTTGAATTTTTAAAGGGACCCATAGTTAAAGAAATTCATCAGACTTTTAGTTCGTGGATAACTCAAGTAATTCGAATCTACAAAGATGAAGAATATGCTGAATTTGATTGGGTTATTGGCCCAATTCCTGTTAAGCAAGTAGCTTTTAATTAGCAAAGTCTTACTTATTTTATTATATTATTATTATTTTTTTGGTATTATATCAGAATAAGGAAGTACACTACTAAAAATGCAGTAATTCTGATAATACAAATAGTCTCAAAGTAATATGTCTAGTCACCTTGGTGAAATGTTTAAATCAGTAACAACAGACTACAATCATGAATATTATCAGTTGACTAATATCAGAATTAGCAAGTTCTAAAACAAATAAGTTATACACTCGTCGAAAGTGCTTGTGTTAATGCTAAAGGAACTTTATTAATGCTGAACTCAGTGAATTTTCATCCAGAAACTAAATAAGTTACAATCCACTTATAAAACTTTGCTTATTATCAGATTTTGGTTATAGTTATCATTAGGTGTTCATGTACAGTACTTAGGCATTTTTTATTTCTCATTTCAAAGCTGTCATTTTCTCACCATCAGCCTCAGCATGCATTTGATAACTTGCAATTTTTATCACTATCAATCATGTTTTAAATGTTAATCATAATTTTCATGCAGTGTAATGGTTTAAATTTCTAACATAACTTACTTCAGTTATACCATTCAATTTAATATATCCAATTTTATTAACACAATGATATAAAATAAAATCAATAATAATAATCTCAAATTATATACTTTTCTATCTGTAAAATCTTACTTACAGTCACTTTACATTATGAAGAGTATAGAGTACAGTAGAGCATCGATTATCCGACCCCTGATTAACCGTCACATCGGTTAACCAATCGTTCTAGTCGGCAAATTTCAAATGTCCGCTAGTGATGTGGCATTACAATATTTGGCTATATCTTGGCTACTTTAATATTATTTTTGTTAAATATTTGCATGTTTTAGCTGGCATCAATGGCTCGACCATTGAAGGGAGGCCAATATTTAAACAAGACTTAATTTTCTAATTATGAGTGGTTGTTTGTTTCGTGAGCAATAAAATAATTTAAAAATAATTTTTAACGATACAATAGCGACAATTATTATTTAAAAAAGAAATTTGTTAGGCTAAACATTGATGAAAATTCAACGCAAAGTTGGTTAATAGCGATAATAATAATAAACTAATTACATGGGATATACTAATATCCTAATATACTATACTANACTAATACATTTATAATTTTGTTTATACATAAATCGCTTTTGTTTAATATGTTTTAAGGACAAAAGTAAAAATATCCAGTTGACAATTTTGAACGATCGTTCTCAAGGAGGAAGTAGTTTAAAGAGTGGTTCCATTGAATTAATGGTAAGAAAATTAAATTAAACATATATATTTACACACTTAAACTTTGTTTTATTTGTAAATATTATATTTTATTATGTAGATTCATCGACGTTTGTTACATGATGATGCGTTTGGAGTCGGAGAGGCATTGAACGAATTAGGTGTTGATGGACGTGGTTTAGTTGTAAAAGGAAGACACTATTTAATTCTTTCTGATATCAATTCTGCTGCCTCCAAACATAGGATATTAGCAGAAAAATTGTTTATGGCTCCTTTGTTATCATTTGCAACAATTAAATCTCAGTCAGTTGCAAAATACATGTCTAATTTCCATACACAGGTATATTAATTACTTCTTTAGTTTTTCATGTCTTATATGGAGTTGCTATTATATATTTATCGTGTCATTTTTTTTTTATTTTGTTCACTTATTTTCCTTTTCCTTCAGATCAACTTCGATACGGTCTACCTATCTTCTCCTTGGTTTACCTCTATTTCTTTTTCACATAATTTCTGCTTCTGTCAGTACATAGTTATCCTCCTTTATATTATAGCCATATATTATTTTTAAATTTTAATTTGAAATAATTTATGTTTTATAGGCTTCTTTTCTATCCAAACCTCTGCCTCCGAATGTACATTTATTAACTTTAGAGCCATGGAATGGTAAAATTTTACTCAGATTAGAACACATGTTTGAAAGCTTTGAAGACCCTAACGATTTGTCAAAACCTGTAAATGTTTCATTGATTGTAAGTATTGTTATTTTATTTATTAGAGAGGTTGCGGCCGACGTTTTTATCGCGAAAACGTGTACGTCGGCCGTTCAGCGCCGCCTTCCTGTAAGCCTAGAAGTTTGACAATGGCGTTTGATACGTCGAGCATGATTCCACTGACGTTCCAAACGCCATTGTCAAACTTCTAGGCTTACAGGAAGGCGGCGCTGAACGGCCGACGTACACGTTTTCGCGATGAAAACGTCGGCCGCAACCTATCTATTATCTGAATTTTAAATGCTTCTGAGTTTATAATTACATCTTCAATACATATAGTGACCCAAAACTGAATTATATTTTAAAAACGTTTAAATCAGAATTGAAACAGCGAAATTATTGATACAATTCCTTCACTTTAAGAAATGGAGTCATGAGTAATAACATATAGCTGGTTAACTGATTTTTGATCTACCCTGTACATTTTCACATACACATTTTCTCAATTTTCATAAATTTAGCAATACAAATACCGTATATAGACGTCTTCAATGTCTGTGAATTAGTCTTCAGTATTTTTCATTGTGAATGATATTATCTCCAAATCGTGACATTTAAACTAGCAAAATCAAACTTCGTATCTCTTACTTACTATATATAATTCTTGGAATCATCCCAAGAGGATCTTTAATCACACTAATGCCAATTAAGATCAGTGTGATTGCAGTATGGACATTTTCGATCATTGTCAATGTCCTCTCACTCCAACCTGATTTATGATTACAACAGAGGTAGAGGATGTAAAAGTACGGATCAAGCTTGTATTGATGCGAGCATCTGGCACATTTCTGTGATAATTCAAGTTGAAGTGTTGCTTGAATATATCCTGTACAGCAACTAGAGAATTGTTATTTTTGAAATAAGTCTCTATCACGAGGACGCATTGTTTTGTGGTCGGTTGCATGTCGAAAAAAAATGGCAGCTCGATAATGACAGAAAAAGAGTAGACAAGACAAATATTTACAAGACTTTCTTACTATATTTATACATAACTGTGTATAAATATACAGTAGAACCTCGATTATCCGGACTAATTGGGGATGAAGGTAGTCCGGATAAGGAAAAATCCGGATAATCGAAACAAATACTTTAATTTGTCTTTTGATGATAATACAACACGTTTTCTTTTCGATGACATATCGGTAATATTAAAAATAAATACCGTATTTAAATCGTGATCAAATTTTCAAGAAACAAAAGTTCGTATTGAATTTGGACTACTACTGACCAGCGCTAACAGACTAGCTATTGTTTAAAAGGCCCTCTGGCGGCTCAAGAAGACGGATTTTATAAAAATAAAAAGCAGTTGAAACTGAATTTTAATGAATAAAAATTTGACAAACTATTTATCGTTTTATGACAAGTAAAATTTTTTCGTCGCGTTCGCGGCTTTTAAGTAATGCATAAACCTTCGAGGCGCGAGGCCCTTCGGACCGCGAGGCATAGGCGGTGGCCCACGTCGTCCATGCCTTACGCCGCCCTTGGTCATAGAAATTATGTAATTTGAATATAAATTATTTATAAATACGTATGTCAAGTTATATTTTTATTACTACGTAAAATATATTTAAGAGTTTACTACCACTGTGCCGGGTGAGACGTTGTTGAAACAAAAAAGTTATGCATTCATCACGTACATTAACAGTGTCGTAATTTGCCAAGTGCAAATCAGCAAATTCGTAAATTTTTGTTTATTTTGAACAATCCGGATAATCGAAAATCCGGATACTAGAGATCCGGATAATCGAGGTTCTACTGTATATTCATATTTATGATTATATATACAGTAAAACCTCTATGGCGACCACCCACGGTTCCTTTAAAAAGTGGTCTTTTAGACAGGTGGTGCTTTAATACTGTATTTCCGTACGTATTTTGCGCACTTTTTAGCCATTTCTACTAAGCAAAACGCACGGTGAGCAAAAATAAGCGAATTTTATATTGGTATTGTATTTTATTCTTATCGGATAACTCGATTTACAGGATTCGTCGTGATTTTATAAGACAGATTTAATACCAATATTTTAAAGATTAATACAATAGTCGCATTTTCTCTATTATAATGTACATTTTTTTCCCCGACTTAATTCAACTTGGTTCTTTGCGTTCGCTCCTCAGTTATGTGTATTACGTCATCAATATACAAGCTCGTCGTATCTCTCCATCACTTTGGTTTTGGTATTCGTTGATTTAGTCTTATTTTAACTTTAAAAATACTGTATATATTTTAAACATTTTCTTAAGTACAATAAGAAAAATTATTAATTAATAAAACGATTTCATTATTTTTTCTCTTTATATGATTTCATTACATTCCGCGATTGTCATTGCGGAATCGAAAAAGAAAGGTTGCCTGTAAAACTGAGATTTGCATTAATGCGTTTATTGTTTTTTGAATATTTTGCGTGCGAAAATTACTTGGATATTATTTTTCTAAAAATATCGTGAAAATAAGGTAGATTGATACAGAAACTATTTATCGCACATGTACTGTATATGAGCTTCAAAATAAATAAATAAAAATAAATTTTATCAAATGATGAGATCAGACGATTATATCGTGTACAATATTAGTACAATTATATCGTGTACAATATTTTATACCGCCAAGGAAAATACTGTAGGTCTACCGTAAAATCAATTTCGTTTTCCCACAGTTAAACTTCGCCGCTAATTGCTGTTGTGATAACTTTAACACGATCTTCTAACGACAGCACTTTGCAATTCTTTCGTTTTTCGGACAATTTCGAACAAACTGAAATGAATTTCCTTTGTTGCTAGACTAATTCAATAACACCTTCACCTAATTTCAAGGGTGGAAGCAGTGCCCGAAATGGGTTCGAACGAGAGTTTAGATTAATTTATTATATTAGGGGGAGACGTTGTTGAACCATAGTTTAGACCAGATATATTCGCGTAAGTGATCGCTTATTACAATTGTTGTATCTTGTTTCGGACCAAAAATCGATGCCCGCGGTCGCTTTACACGGGTGGTCGTTTAATACAGGTAACTTATACGAAGACTCTATGGATAAAGTATTCAGTGCCAGAAACTTTTGCCCGTTTTGACAGGTGCCCGTCGAATGCAGGTAGTGTCCTAAGCAGTTTTCACTGTATATGTAAATTATATATTTTTTCATAAATTATAATTCATAATTTTCCTTATTACTTTAAATTTAGGTATTTTAAGAAAATTTTTGCAAAATATGTAAATTGATCGCTACCTCTTATTTAATTAAAATATATAGGGTGGAAAAGAAAATCACATAACACAACTGCTACAGAATATAGAATGTACCCAAAGTTAATTCGCTCATGTGAGGAACACATTAAACCGAAGGAAAAACTGATTGATGTATGTTACACGCACGGCTGTCACCAAGATGGCGGCCATATTAAATGAATTCCGAAACTGTAAATAGGAAGGAGGTCATGTGACACATCATTTAGGGTCAGAATTTCACAAGGAATTGATTTCCGAGAGATTTATTCACCTACCTCGAACGGTTGTAGAGTTATACACACGTTACATGATTTGCTCAATGTACATTCTATATTCTGTAGCAGGGGTGTTAAACGATTTTCTTTCCCACCCTGTATTTTACTACAGACACACATACACACATACAGTATGGAAAATGTATGTTCTTTCTATAATATAGTAACAAGCTCTCTGACAAAAAAGCTTGAAATATTTTCCTGTCTATAAATCTGGCAATATTGATTATATTACATTTTATAAATAAAATCACTTGAAAGTAGATGCAAAAGTCCTAGCCTACATCGCGAGAATACACACAGAGAATACTCATTGGTCGTTTCATGATGGCATCACACAGTCGAGAAATGCCTTTCTATCTAGTTGATTCTTGAACTAAGCTGTTCGACTATTTTTCATTTTAATATAGCCCACCAGTGGTCAAACGGTCTTCGTACCCTGAACACTGGGAGTTCGGTCATGGGTTCGCTCCTCGCTCGGACGGGTTGGCCACGTGGAGTTTTCCAGGTTTTCTCCATATCTGTAATGCCTAAATAGGGGCCAGTTTCCCTTATAAAGACATCCCAGAAGGCATCCCCTTGGGAGATCGCTGAAGTGTTGCGTTGCCATAACTTAACAAACAACAACATTTTAATATATATAGACAGATGGTGCATTTTATCTGATCCATCACGGTACGTATTTTGCGCACTTTTTAGCCATTTCTACTAAGCAAAACGCACGGTGAGCAAAAATAAGCGAATTTTATATTGGTATTGTATTTTATTCTTATCGGATAACTCGATTTACAGGATTCGTCGTGATTTTATAAGACAGATTTAATACCAATATTTTAAAGATTAATACAATAGTCGCATTTTCTCTATTATAATGTACATTTTTTTCCCCGACTTAATTCAACTTGGTTCTTTGCGTTCGCTCCTCAGTTATGTGTATTACGTCATCAATATACAAGCTCGTCGTATCTCTCCATCACTTTGGTTTTGGTATTCGTTGATTTAGTCTTATTTTAACTTTAAAAATACTGTATATATTTTAAACATTTTCTTAAGTACAATAAGAAAAATTATTAATTAATAAAACGATTTCATTATTTTTTCTCTTTATATGATTTCATTACATTCCGCGATTGTCATTGCGGAATCGAAAAAGGAAGGTTGCCTGTAAAACTGAGATTTGCATTAATGCGTTTATTGTTTTTTGAATATTTTGCGTGCGAAAATCACTTGGATATTATTTTTCTAAAAATATCGTGAAAATAAGGTAGATTGATACAGAAACTATTTATCGCACATGTACTGTATATGAGCTTCAAAATAAATAAATAAAAATAAATTTTATCAAATGATGAGATCAGACGATTATATCGTGTACAATATTAGTACAATTATATCGTGTACAATATTTTATACCGCCAAGGAAAATACTGTAGGTCTACCGTAAAATCAATTTCGTTTTCCCACAGTTAAACTTCGCCGCT